ATCTTATACCAACTCTTTATATAACACCTTATACCAACTCTTGATCTTATACCAACTCTTTATATAACACCTTATACCAACTCTTGATCTTATACCAACTCTTTATATAACACCTTATACCAACTCTTGATCTTATACCAACTCTTTATATAACACCTTATACCAACTCTTGATCTTATACCAACTCTTTATATAACACCTTATACCAACTCTTGATCTTATACCAACTCTTTATATAACACCTTATACCAACTCTTGATCTTATACCAACTCTTTATATAACACCTTATACCAACTCTTGATCTTATACCAACTCTTTATATAACACCTTATACCAACTCTTTATAGAACACCTTATACCAACTCTTTATAGAACACATTATACCAACTCTTTATAGAACACCTTATACCAACTCTTTATATAACACATTATACCAACTCTTGATCTTATACCAACTCTTTATATAACACCTTATACCAACTCTTGATCTTATACCAACTCTTTATAGAACACCTTATACCAACTCTTTATAGAACACCTTATACCAACTCTTTATAGAACACATTATACCAACTCTTTATAGAACACCTTATACCAACTCTTTATAGAACACCTTATACCAACTCTTTATAGAATACATTATCCCAACTCTTTATAGAACACCTTATACCAACTCTTTATAGAAAACCTTATACGAACTTGTTATAGAACACATTATACCAACTCTATAGAACACCTTATACGAACTCTTTATAGAACACATAATACCAACTTGTTATAGAACACCTTATACCAACTCTTTATAGAACACATTATACCAACTCTGATCTGGGGAGTTCACATATCTAACAAATAATGTTTCACATTTGGATGTAAAAGTCAAATTGACATCTTGTTCAGATAACGGGGATTTTTAATTCATAACATATAATAAAGACAGCTTTAAGTTTAGAAATCCTGACGTAGCCAAAATTACTCGAGTAAATTTGCCGACACATTAAATCATTACAGGAAATGTGCCATTATTACTACATTAAGGTGTTGGGAGGCCCAGACCCTAGAGATTTCCATCCTCCAATCATATTTGTTTTACTTGGAGAAATCAATAGATTACATCATAGGCAATTTTCACATCATCTGCCAGCGCTAGATTCCCACAACCTATATCCATCATAAGGCCAATACAAGTTTGTAATTCATTGGCAGAGGGGGGGTTCGATGGACGAATGGTTAGCGAATGCATCATCTCAAGTGGTTTACAAAGACGTCTAATTTTTTAAAAATCTTAGATTCATTTGTGTTTTACAGGTATGTAAATTATACAGACAATCTCTTCAAGGAGGGGTGGGTGGGTGGATAGTCGAATGGTTAGTACGTGCGTGCTGTATCATACGACCTGTCATTGAGTCAACTTGCGACGTTTTGAATCCCCGTTTGTATGTGACAAGGAGTAGGGTCGCCTGTCACGTACAACCGGGGGTTTCGAAACCACGCCAGTTGACTCAATGACAGGCTTTATGATGCAGTGCACACGTGCTAACCCTTCGGCCATCCAACCCCCCAACAATATAAGAGAAGCCAACAGCATGTACAATTGTTGGGTAAAATATTTTGATTTGGCTTCTTTTTAATCTGATGAAATCCAAATTTATTTTCTTAATCAAATATTTAATAATCAATCCAAATACATTTAGAGTGGGTTATTAAGCATGAAAAAATAGATAATGTCCAATAAATGTAATTGATCATCAACAGTTTTAACATAGAAATTTTAAGTAACAATTTTTATGTTGGTCAGTCCTTGAAAAGCAAAAAACAAAATAAAATTCATGTGGCCTTACATGAGCGTTTAGAGTAGGTCAACCATGGTATTTGCACCAATTGAAAAACCAATTTGGTGAGTTAACTCTAGCTGTTGCTTGAGGTGGTATTGAAAGTGAATATAACTGCCATATATGAGGTGTAATAATACATTACATCATCCCTATAACACTTGATCTAACATGATGGAGGAGAGAGATGGTTTTCACTTCACAACTTTCCTCAATTATCTCCAAGTTTCATAATAATATGGGTACTAATGAGCTATTTTTTACGTTGTTAAATCTCATTTTACCATGAATTTAATATCGAAACCTGCTGAGCTCTAGGGGTGATGTATGGGTGTAATATAGCTGTTTTAATAATGTAATAAAACTTGAAAAGCCATGAACACAACGCCTGGAATGAAACCAGTGACATTAGCTTCTTACAAAATATTCCAAATTATGAGAATGAATTTATTGACTTGGGATCTAATATCCAATAACGCAGACGCTAAATTGATTATTGCTGCACATCTATTAGATTTGGTCAAATTTTCTCGGACAAACTTGAAATGATCAATATTTTGGCAAGATGAGTGGTGTGTTGGGTTATTAATAATTACGATAAACACTGTCCTTTGCTTCTCTTGTAGAACTTGACGAAACTGACAGGCTTGAGAAATGACATTTTTACTATGGTTAGATTGGTTGGCAATCTCATTGCTGCAGGCCCCTTTATTTCTTGGGATCTAATCAGGCCTTAAAAATTGAGCAAGGGATTTGATGCCCCAAGGGTGGTGAATAATTTATGAACAGTTAAATGCTAATGCCATGCTATTGTCTGCGTGTAATTAGGCAAAGCTAAAATAAACACCATTTTGAATCAACGGTCAGGAAGAAGTAAAGGGACAATAAAGAGGCTTAATTGATCATTAAATATATTTAAATTCTAACTTAACTTTCAATCACTTTTGAAATATGGTTTGTTGAAAAATAGATTGTCAAATTACATTATTTTGTCTAAATGACTTTTCCAACTATGATGATGAATTACATCATTAAGATTTTTTTTTAAGCCAATTACTTAAACATGAATCTAATTTATCGCAAAATTAGTATTCACCATTTTGTAAATTAATTCCTAAACGGAGAATGAATTAACCGAAATCTGTGACATTTAACGGGCAGAAAAAAATAGTGTTATTTCATAATTTTATCTGAATTTTTGATAATATCTTAAAACATAGTTTTTCTCAAAATGGATTATGGGTATGAATCTGTAACATTTAAAAAAAACAACAGAAAAACAACAGAGTATAAGTTTAAATTTTATATCCATAATGCATGTTTAATTTAAATTTATATCTATAATGAAAGGGTATTAGTTCAATACTAAATTTAAAATGACAGAGTTGCCTATTAGATCAAAACTACATCCAAAATCAGTTCAAAACTATATTCAAAATCAGTTCAAAACTAGATCCAAAATCAGTTCATCAAAATCAGTTCAAAACTTTATTCAAAATCAGTTCAAAACTAGATCCAAAATCAGTTCATCAAAATCAGTTCAAAACTCAGTTCAAAACTATAATCAAAATCAGTTCAAAACTAGATCCAAAATCAGTTCATCAAAATCAGTTCAAAACTTTATTCAAAATCAGTTCAAAACTAGATCCAAAATCAGTTCATCAAAATCAGTTCAAAACTCAGTTCAAAACTCAGTTCAAAACTATATCCAAAATGGGGGGGGGGGCGAGCTGAGTCGTGCTACATGTACACTTTAGATCGAGAGAGAGAGAGAGAGAGAGAGAGAGAGAGATGGGGTTTAACGTCATTTTGGGACTAACATATGGTTCAATTTTATATCAATAATTGGACAGATGACCCTACTCCTTGTCACGTCAGCCACCTACTCCCCTCTGCAACATTTAGAAACGTATATGACTATGTTAATGTAATATAAATAATGAATATTTATTGGTAGGAATGTAATAATTATTACACTGTATTCTGTTCTGATCTTTACGCATACGTTTTAGCTATAACTATAGTACGTTGTGTATAAATGCTCGGCGTACAACATGATCTAATTGCTTGTTTTGGTTTATGTTTTTTTTTTAGATGTATGTATGTATATTTAATACATAAGTACCAGTAAATATACTATCATTAACAGTAAATAATATATAAATATGCTAAACTAATTACACTAATAAAAAACTCTAATAAAAACTATCCTTATAATAATAACATAACCGTAATAATTAGACGACTCAAGCTATGAAAATAAAACACATCATTTCTAATCAGTCCTAACACAACGTCTAGACCTATATAAAATCCTATGTTTGGAATAATACCTTCAAAATGCTTCACTCTGAGTGGAGATATTAACTTTTTCTTGACATCAGTAAATATATAACAGCCATACAAAAACGAAGAAACCAGTCAAATATATATGGAGTGGATACCATCGAAAAGTATAAATTTTTTTAGACCTGTATTTTGATACATTGGTTGAGGTGATACCATCGAAAAGTATAAAATTTTTTAGACCTGTATTTTGATCACATTGGTTGAGGTGATAACAGCTCTTTAATACACTGATAATTTAGGTGTCTTGCTTCGCTGTTAACAAGGAGTTAAGTATAAAATAATATAAAAAGTTATTGTTGTCAAAACTGTTCACAGACATGATTGATGAACTCATACTCATAAAATATTAAACATAAAAATAATGGATGATCTTTTTTTTATTATATCTGGCGGCTATGTATGGCTAAATTATACCAAAATAACCTGCAATGTTTGGCATGTTGTCATGTTCTTTATGTAGCTGCATGATTTGGTAATAATATGCGACCTTTGACCTTATTGCAGGGAATAATCGTCTGTATGTATTAAGGTTATTGAGATTCAACAGTCGTTGCTAATCGCGAGAATGGATGAATTTCAGTTCTTCTTCTCCCCTGTAATTGTTTCCTCTTGGGACCGAAACCTAACACTGGTTGCATCTAATACCATGCACCACCAGCAGATCTATTTTTATCTCGTTCAGCTCAATATATTACCCACAACCACAAACAGACCTGGTTGAAAACTACTTTATGTAAGACAGAATCAACATTGATAAACTACACAACACCAAAAAAAACACAGAGTGCATTTAGATTAAATAGCTGAATTGCACTGACCCTGAAAGCAGCAAGCTGACCCTTTATCCTCCCTCTTCACTGAATGATTGTCTGACTCACCTTCTCTAATTCTACAGGAATAAACCCCGGGTTCGACACACCAACAAATCCAATCTTAAACTCTTTATAAACACAAAATGGAAGTAGAAGTACCTTGTGTCGATCTCTTAACGATGTAAAATAAAGAAATTCTTCATTTCCACGACAAATGTTTTTCTCTTTGGTGAAGTAAAACACTGAGTATAATATGTGGAGAGATACAGACTGCTTGACTGAGGCTATGAATGTAAACAGAACAACATGTAGGAGCCAGCTTACGGCTTCCGGATAAATCAATAATCACTGATATTAGACTAGAAGTTCACATTGCTTCATGTATCAACTCAGTCTTCCTTCATAGTTTGTCACAGGCTGATCACTGCAGCGCCATATTTCTAAGGAAGAGACCAAATTAGACTACTAAAAAAAAAGCACTAGTTAGACTCCATATGATATTAAACATCCGTGGTACGATTTACACATGGATTATACAAAAAAAAAAACAGCACATGTGTAGCCTACTCTGAGATGAGAGACAGCAAACCATTGCAACATTGTTTGTCTTACCTTACAAATCAACCAATCAGAGATCAGCTATCTTAAACCTGCACTTCCTTTTAACATTTCTTGCAATGGGATCCCTTAGCAATTACATGTATAATATTTAAATTCAATAACTTTGAACTTTGCAGACGACATACATGTACAAGCCTGACATTTAAAATCAACGCCCCACAGATTGAGCAGCCTGTTAACTGGTCAGTCAGTTTTACAATTTAATAATATTTTTATCATCAGCAACAGGATCATTTCCTTTGATATTTTTATCATCAATTATCAACTAAGCCTATGTCTGATAAATTAAGGACAATTAAAGTGTCCCCTGGTCAAGAGCCATAAATAACTAGTGTCCATTATCCCTAATTAACCCTAGATGGTAATTTTTAATTACATGGTCACACTTTATTTACACAAGATGATGGAAGCCCTGTCCTGCATAAAATATCTTATTTAACATTAGAGCAATCATGTCACAATACAAGCTGTTATTTAAAATAAGTTAAATAACCTTAGAGGTAAACCTTTTAAAAAATGGTGGAAGCCTGGAAGCCCTGTCCTGCTTAAAATTTTTTTTTTTAACTTTTGTAATAATTAAATTACTCAATTCCTGTATCCATTATATTAAATTACTTACTTATTTTGTATAAATTTCTATATTCATTGTATTAAATTGTTTACTTATTTTGTATAAATTTCTATATCCATTGTATTATATAATTGCCTATTTTTTGGTATCAATCTCCTTCTGCATTGTAATAAATCACTTTTCAGAAATCAAGTTCAGGATACTTTCATACACTTTATTCACACATTTTATCAAATAAATAGTTTGCATGTATAAATAACTCCACAACACCTGTACTTGTCTTTAATAAATGGAAGTTTTTAAATAGGTGTGAGTCAGAATAATTAAAATTTACTATTGAAAATTATATCATAGAAAGTCAGTCTATTCAACTATATATATGCGTCATCATAAAAACAGAATTAATTTTAGAAGATTGAATATCGATGAAAAAGCTTATTGATTTGGTTTTAAACAGTATTTATTTCGAGAATATTATACAATATAAAAGCAAAAAGAATAGGATACAAAAACAAGCCAAGTAGGCTTATATTAATTTGTTTCCTTATTGATTTATCTACCATATAATAAAGAATATGAAAAAAGAAATAACCTGCTGCTAGCATCAATAAGATCCAATAAAACTATCATATGGAAGAAATGTTTCTAAAATGAAGACAAAGGGGATGAGGAATGAGTGGATACAGAGTATGATCAGTGAGATAGCCTAGAGGGATCAGCTGGAAGATGGTGAGGTCAGCAGCTTCTATTCATCCCCTCCAGCCATTTCATTAACTCAGTCCATGTATACAGAGTGGACTTCACCAATACTGACCATGTTTATTGTTTCTTTAATTAACGGTTAACTGAAGTCTCGGATTCATCTGTTGTAATAGACCATGTGGCAGCCATCATACTATCCCCCTCTTGCTCCCTCTAGCTACACTTAAGGCCACCAGTTGCCACTGAAAGTTGAGCCACCCTTTAACAAAGTCAACTTTCTCTTTTAAATATTCAGTTATTCCTAACCAAATTAAATGCTAGGTAATCAGGGAATTTCCCAATAAAGACATTGAAAGTATTAATGTTACAGATGTTAAGGCAGTTGATCATTTTTCATTCACAGGTAACTTCATACGAAAAAATGTACTGAAATTGATTAATTTAAACATGCATTATGCAAGAGCTAAATCTGCATATTGCAGGTCTTTCTTTAGGCCTTAAATGTTAAATAAACTATCAATTAGACATTTATTAACATGGCAAGATCATCTGATGGATACGATTTTAAACAGATTTGAATCCGATCTACAATTTAACAGCTATTTAAGATGAACCGTAAAAAAAAATAATCGAGACTTTGTTTATTATCATAACAACGGAAACCATGACAATCAAGGCTACAGTTTTTTTAAATTCAGTTTTTTCGGCTCAGACTCAGAGTAAAGTAATTTGACTGAAAATTTCAGCATATTCTATTTTTTTTTAACTATTATAGCCAGAACTGTCGGCTCTTTATCTAATCTTAGGTTACCTAATTTGACTGAAATTTTCAGCATATTCTATTTACATTATCTATTATTTAATTTTTATAGCTAGAACTGTCAGCTCTTTATCTAATCTTAGACTAATTAATGCTGCTTTAACAATTAATTAGGAATACCAAACCAAAATCATTATATATTTATAATTACTGAACTGAACCTTTTTTAGGCCGTTTTTTCTCTCAGCGCTAAAAAGACTTGAATAATCTGAATCATAATTATAACTTCAATCAAGTGGATAAGTATATTTATTGCATAAAAATGCCCACGAGGAGCAGCATACAATTACAAAACTGACACTAATACAATACAACAAATATACATGTAAGAAATAAACGAACATTAATACAATACAACAAATATACATGTAACAAATAAACGAACATTAATAGTATACAATACAACAAATATACATGTAACAAATAAACGAACATTACTACAATACAACAAATATACATGTAACAAATAAACGAACATTAATACAATACAACAAATATACATGTAACAAATAAACGAACCTATACATAAAGCTAGTTACAAGTAGAATAGAATTTCTTTTTATGAATTTATTAAGTCATGTAACATAATTCCAAGGTTATCCATTTTTGTTTCAATTAGACATCTTGTGGAAAGTAAAGTCACACACTAAGAAGGTTATTAAAGTATTAAACTTATCAACAATATTTAGAAAATTGTGTTGCTAAACCACAAAATACCTACATCTCGATCCCATCCCTTATCTTAATTTATGAAGTTAACTGTAAATGGGATAGACTGCGATGAACAATTATCAGGCAGATTTATCAAATTGGCAAGAAAAGATACATGTAATAAACTGAAAACAATCTTGGTAACAAGATGAGTGTTGGTTAGACGATGGTGGAATACAACTTAAAGGGGTGTCTTTGTAGTAACTATAAGATAAAGGTGGGGGAGGGGGTGTCTTTGTAGTAGTTATAAGATATAAAGGTGGTGGAGGGGGTGTCTTTGTAGTAGCTATAAGATAAAGGAGGGGGTGTCTTTGTAGTAGTTTTAAGATATAAAGGTGGTGGAGGGGGTGTCTTTGTAGTAGCTATAAGATAAAGGAGGGGGTGTCTTTGTAGTAGTTTTAAGATATAAAGGTGGGGGAGGGGGTGTCTTTGTAGTAGCTATAAGATAAAGGTGGGGGAGGGGGTGTCTTTGTAGTGGTTATAATAAGATAAAGACGGGGGAGGGGTGTCTTTGTAGTAGCTATAAGATAAAGGTGGGGGAGGGGGGTGTCTTTGTAGTAGTTATAAGATATAAAGGTAGGGGAGGGGGTGTCTTTGTAGTAGTTATAAGATAAAGGTGGGGGAGGGGGTGTCTTTGTAGTAGCTATAAGATAAAGCTGGGGGAGGGGGTGTCTTTGTAGTAGCTATAAGATAAAGGAGGGGGAGCGGGTGTCTTTGTAGTAGCTATAAGATTAGAGGGGAGGTCTTTGAGTAGCTAGAAGATACAGGGGTGGTGGTGGTTGTGGGGGGTCTTTGTAGTAGTTATACGATAGAGGGAAGGTCTTTGTAGTAGCTATAAGACAAAGGGGAGATCTTTGTAGTAGCTATAAGATAAAGGGGAGGTACTTAGAGTAGCTATAGGGGTTGGGGAAGGCCTAGTAATCTGGAATGTTGCTGATCACCTCTTGCTTGTGGTTTTGGTTTTCACCCCTGGTGGGAGCATGTGTGGGGGGCGCCTTATCAAACTCGGGTATTTACTCTTTAAGTACTTCCGCAGGAAAAACTCGTGCACATGCACTGAATATACTATAAATAAGACCACTTTGGTGAAAGCTGACAGCAATCCCAACAAATATCTCGAGCCATGAGCTCAGGTAAAAACACAATATTCGTTCATTCGTTTCTGGAGTTTTACGTCCACAATATGAACAACAAGAGTCCTTATTCCATCTTAGATAGCCTGTTGCTTCTTACCAGATGTCACTGACAAAACATTTTAAAACATTCAGTAATCTGATATAAGTCAGTCACATACTGCAGTACCATCAGATGCACTAATCCATTTCTAATTCCATCTGGTTCGGGTAATATCATTGTGTTGTAACCTAGAGTTACCTATAGTTGCTTCAGATTTTGTCTAATGAATTTAATTTCTTCACAATAAGTTTATCTGTTTGCCCACCTGTGGTGCGATAAAAGTGACCCCAAATGATGACTCCTCAAGTCAAAGAGTACAATAATGTTTTGCTGCAATCATTCAGATAATGTATTATTTTATTAAAAACTGTTGTTTCAAGAACAAAATTTCTTAAAAATTCATTATCTAAAGATATTAGACAAGCACTCTTTCATTGATGGGGGGAGAGATAGAGAGAAATTGGGTTTAAAATCCACTCGACACAAACCAGGTCATTTTGGGACTAACACATGGTTCAATTTTATTTCAATAATTCGCTTATCAGTGGGAGGAAACCGGAGGACCCAGAGAAAACCCACGTGGTTGGATAGGCGACCTTACTCCTTGTCACATACAACTGGGGAATCGAAATTCTTTGATGGAGTTATAGTGGTAATAGCTGGTGGTTTAAGGTTTACTTCCAAAGTAGTTACATCGCAGACAAGCATGGAGTCGTCATATCCCAAAAGCATATATGCCACCCACACTGGGTTAAGAATAAATGAATGAAAACGGGTGTAATTTGTGACTTTTCGACTAATGAAGAAAGGTGTGAGGGGAAATTGTGACTTTTCAACTAATGAAGAAAGGGATGAGGGGAAATTAAATTCCAACTGTCAAAGATTCTTTTATGTGTATACCGGACCCTGGTGCCAGGTTAATATAGAATTGAAGTCTCTTTTTATAATTTCTTGTTTTTTAGAAATTCATTCAACTGAGTTAAATCTATTAAACGTGCATTATGCAAGAGCTAAATCTGCCTATTGCAGGTCTTTCTTTAGGCCTGAAATGTTATCTAAATTATTAATTAGACATTTATTAAATTATCCAGACCATAATCAACTCTCGATGCCATTGCTAGCCTGCGATTTTTACTGGATTTAAATACATTTTGTGATGGATCATTTAACGTCAAAATATTTAAAAGTAAAAATGGATAATCAAGACTTTGTTTTTTTTATTGTACCAACTTTAATAATGATGATCGAGACAAGGCCTGAAATTTAATCGCTAATATCTCGGTTCATAGTGGAGAAATTTGACTGAAAATTTCAGAATATTCTCTTTACGTTATCTATATTTTAACTATTATAGCGAGAACTGTCAGCTCTTTATCTAATCTCCCATAATGCCCCTTAAATTGATTGACAGATAGACATTCTAATACCAACTGAATGTCTCGTAAAAAAAAGGTCCCAAAAACAAGCCCTTGAAAGAAGTTAGAGCATGACAAGTTAAGAGAGATTTGGTGAAGTATTGAAGTTATTCATTAACTGACAGCAGATCTCCCCGTCTATTTACTGTCTTCCAGGAAATCTTTTCACCAGCGTTTCTCAATGATTCTCTACCATCGACAAGATTCACAAAAAACACATTTCAACTTCACCAACAAATCTAATCAGACGGAAGGCGTTTTCAAACACTGCTTTCTAATTTGATGTTTTTATGAAATTTGTGCTTTACAGAGCGAATTCCAAAACAGTCATAAAATAACGAATGGTCTTCTTCATGAAAGGATAGAAAATGACGTGTGATGAATTTACTGGTTATTCGTGTCGCTTGTCATGTGTAAAAATACTTGGAGTGAAATAATGTTGTGGATATTGAAGAAGCGTATCCAGCAACTAATAAAATAAGGAAGTTATGAATACAGTCATGTGTAAAGATCAGAATAATATTCCACCATCTTTTTTACAGTTAGAAAGAGACATGTTACGTATAAAAATCAAATAAAAAATGGACAATAATTTGCAAGGTTTCTTTGAAATTTTTAATAATATAAGAATTTTTTTCTGATCAATAAAACATTAAGAACGTCTCAAAATCTAAATGGATGGACAAAAGGATGAAATGATGAAATCAAGCGTTGGGATGTTAAAATATCAATAGAAAATATTCTAGACATTTTCAGATGATTATCCAATAAAAAGTCATAAATTTTGAACAAGAGAGAGAGAATCAAATGGGATTTAACATTCACTCGACATTTCAGGACTAACATATGGTTTAATTTTATTTCAATAATTTGTTTGCATGTAGGGGTCTTTAGCAGTGTGGGGAGGGGGGACTGGAGGACCAGGAGAAAACCCACGAGGTTGGACAGGCGACCTTACTCTTTGACATATACAACCGGGGAATCGAAACCCCGCCAGTTGACTCAATGACAGACCTTATGTTAACCATTCAGCCATCCACCCCCCCCCCACCCAATTTCTAACATGGGGTTCACGAAAAATATTCAGTTTACCTGGAGGGCTTCCCTGTTATTATTACTGGATTACTGACAACATGAAATGAAATGGGGTTTAGCGTCCTACTGTTCTGCTCCAAACTGGGCTAATGAAGACGGGTATACGCCATACAGTGTGCTATGAGGGAAATTTTGCCTGGACAGCGACACTACAGCCTACTCTTATATCAAATTCCAACTGTCAAGGGATCTTTTACGTGCATTCCAATGTATACACGGGACCTTGGTTTTTCGTCCCATCCGGTACGTTGTTGTTTGGTCAGTGATTAGGGCAGTGATTCTCAACCAGTGTGCCGTAAGATCTTCCTAAGTGTGCCGCGAAATTTTGAACGGCACGGTTAAAAAATGTGATAACCATGTGATCCCATTTAAGAATTCACAGGTGTCTACTGATAAGTTCTTAGCTGTGTTTTTCTTTATTTAGTTTGAGTCATTCTATTTGTCTATCACTAGTCTCTGTCTATGGTTGTATTCCGTCCGACTTACCATGTTTTTATTTTGTAAAATTCAAATATTTTTTATATATGTTTATATAGCCAGGTGTGCCGCTATTTTTTCATGTTTTCCAAGGTGTGCCGTTGGCAAAAAAAGGTTGAGAACCACTGGATTAGGGATTTTCATTCATCAATTAATTAGTAACAAAATTAGAGTTTTTAATTATTGTCAATTGCCAAAAGAATATTTTCTAACATTTCAACCACAGATGAATGAACAAACTTTAAAGTGTTCACTCAAACTCTCCCATTTATATCTACTGAAATTTGCTTTGATCATCAAAAAATGTATCAAACGCTTGTACATTGTACGTCCTTCTAAAAAGTTACAACTTCGCAGCGCAACCAAAATTTCATCCTAAACCAATGAATCTTGTCAATTTAAAGTTATTGAGCAGCAGACAGATTTTGGCAGAAGCAATGATGAATACATGTATAACTTAATGCCCACATCATTTCAGACTCAGGACTACAAAGAAAAAATGTGTTTAGAAATCAATACAGTTTGCTAAACTATCGAAGTAAAACTGAATACGGTGATCTATCCTCAATGTGGATGAAATAAATGTATTTCGTTCAATAAAGACACGCTTCTGTGTCACACAGCCAGATGTAGCATAAATCAAGCGTAAATCTGATGGGATTTTAGTCAGGTACATAAATCACTTATCAGAGAAAAAAAATTATAATTCACCTACTTAAATTCTTGATTCGTTAGTCAACCCCACGGGAACTGATGTCATCGTTGTTTAATTAACACTCCGACTCCTTTTACTCTTCATGAACTGGAATAAAAAGACAAGAAAAAGATAGTCTTACGTCTTGTGAATTCGTGAGCTTAACCTTAGGTCATGTGACTTTGCAATTTTAATTGCTTAGGTCATGTGACTTTGTAATTATAATTGCAGTGCAACACCCTTAAAATGCAAATTATTTAGTTAAAAAATTATTTCAATAGTTAAAGTCAGCTAGGAGAGCGAACTGATTCAGGGGGTTAACGTTGATTGACAAGCCTCTAAGACTTCGCTACAAAAAATGTCATTTAAAGTCCCCCACACACTTCAAGCCATCTGCTGTTTGACAATCGCTTCATGCTTGCGTTAAAAAACTTCATTAAAGTAAGAATTAATGAACGGCTTAAAAAACGTTGATAAAACCCCAAAAAGATTTTTCAATTGAAAATTAAAGGTCAGATTTAATCAGAATTAAAATCTTGTCAGATTAACAAATCTGGGGAAAAAAATGGGCGTTTGCAAATATCACTTTCATTTCCTCACATACTAAATCAGAGAAAGGGACATAGGGTTTAACGGCCACTCGATAAAAAAATAAGTCATTTTGGGACTAACATATGGTTCAATTTTATTTCAATAACTGCCTTGCAGTGGGAGAAAACCGGAGGACTCAGAGAATGACGTATACTCTTCTGGTTTTTTTTAATGTATGAATTTTAATGCTGTCAATGGCAGACTCTCAGAGATGTAATATCTAAAAGAGAGAGAGAGAAATGGGGTATAACGTACATTTGACACAAACGTCATTTCGGGACTAACATATGGTTCAATTTTATTTCAATAATTCACTTGTGCGTAGGTGTCTTTAGCAGTGGGAGGAAACCGGAGGACCCAGAGAAAACCCACAAGGTTGGGTAATACCTAAAACAGCAAATCTTAAAAGAATGACTATTTGTATGACTCTTAACTAGATGAAATATTATAAGAATGACTATCGTTGTATGACTCTTAATCTGTTTAGAACTAGATGATATATTAGAACAATGACTATAACTTGTATGATTTTTAATCTGTTGGAAACGAGATGAAATATTAATGGTTAATATCACAAACATCATAAAATCTTGTATAATTAAATTAATATTTGTACAACGAGAGTCGAATGTGCTAAAGGCTAAATTGTTGCAATGGATTTTTTGTTGATGATTCTATTTGCTGTCGAACCTGATCAGAATAATAGCAAGGGCAAGTACTCTAACAATGACCATTGTTCGATGAAGTGCGCTTGTCGTGGGTTCAAAGAGCATATTTCCCGTTCAATATTCCAGCCGATCGATACCCTCAACGTCAAATCATTATTGATGTCTGCCACAGGCCCCTCTCATAACAAACTACTATAAACATCAATCTAAAACATTGAAATACCTCGCAAAATAAACAATGTCCTTGGTAAAAGTTATTGGTAACAGTTGTTTTTATTGTAATCAAGGGCGATTTTTGGTTTAAAGATACATTATGTAAGATTTAGATAAAGAGCTAGCCATTCTTGCTAAAACAGATAACGTAAAATTAATAATTTGAAAATTTCATTCAAATTACTCTATTGTGAGCGAAGATATTAACCTTTGAAGCTTTGACAAAGCATGTGCATTAATTTCAACCACCGTACTGGTTGTTTGAAGCTAAGTCTCGCTCCTCCATTTTTAAATTAAATCAAAATATGGCTGAACCATTCTAATCTTTTTTATATCGGAGATATCCGATGACATTGAGAGTTGATTATGGTTTTGTCATGTTAATAAATGTCTAATTAACAGTTTAAATGACATTTAAGGCCTAAAGAAAGACCTGCAATAGGCAGATTTGGCTCTTGAATAATGTATGTTTTATATTTGATCATTTTCTGCAAAATATATATCAACAACTTAAGATGATAATGTTGACTTAAACCTAGGCCCGTTTGAAGATTAACATTGTTTAATATCTATTGTTATTCGGCTTTATCAAGCTTGTTTGTCTCTGGTGAATTATACAAAACTAAATCCTTTGACACGATGTGATAGCCCCTAACATACTAAGAAGAAATCTTTCCTCATAGGGAACAGCAGGATTTGTAACTAGGATGCAAATCTTTTAACAGTACACAGATCTGAGAGAGAGAGAGAGAGAGAGAGAGGGGGGGGGGTAACATCCATTCATACAAACTAGGTCATTTCGGGGCTAACATATAACATATGGTTCAATTTTATTTCCATAATTCACTTGCGTGTAGGGATCTTTAGCAGTGGGAGTAAACAGGAGGGCCTGGAGGAAACCCACAAGGTTGAACTGGCGACCCTACTCCTTGTCACATACAAGTGGGTAATTGAAACCATTCCCATTGACTCAATGATAGACCTTATGATATAACGCGCATGTGCTAACCATTTGACCATCCAACCTCCACTCCACAGATAGGGATATTTGCGCAGATGGAACTCCACATACTTGTTAACGTGCCTGTAACAGAACCCTTGACAGTGGGAATCTCATGAAGAGTAGGCATTTTCCAAGCAATATTATTAGGCCTCATTTAAAATTTGTTTAAAATCACGTAAATTCATCTAAACTCATCTAATTTGTACTTGTGTCCAGTTTAAAGCTGACCACTGAATTTTATAACGAGTGTCAAATTTACAAGCGTTTAATTTCTCGATCACTGTTGAAAAATAAACAACCCAATTGATTATTGATGTATAATGATTAATTTTTGAACAGTGGTCAGGAAATTAAATACTTGTAAATTGGACACTCATTATCAAAATTAATCAGTCAGATTTAAACTGGACACAAGTACAAAATAGATGATTTGGGGCAATTTTAAATGATTTTTACGAATTTTTTAAACAAAAATTTGATATTAAACAAATATGAAAGAAATTAGTGCTAGATACACAAGATTGGATGATCCCCAGGTCACAGTGATAGATGTGCATATAGCAGAATGCATGGCGTATGCCCTCCTTCACTACCCCGGTTGGTTCGGATAAGTTGGATGCTAAACCCCCATTTCATTTCATTTTTCATCTCTGCACTATAACACAAAATATATGCAAATGGAACAGCGAACCAGGTTTGAATCAAGAATCTAGACTGTGTAAAATGGGCACATAATTGATTTCAAAGCTTTTGTGAAAAAATTAAATCAAACACAAGACAAGTAATTGACAACCTGCCGTTTTGGAGGTAAAAATAGAAATTGGAAAATGTACAGTCGGCCAAATTTATTTAACAGACATGCTTTAACACAAGTCATCTATGTAATGAATGTGTCTGTTTTCGTATTTTCACGTGTTTTAGCTGGTAGAAAGATTTATTTTAGCGAAGACCTTTAATAAAATCAAGTTGCTGGTTCGATCAGACAACCTGAAACAATTCTAACCATGTTACTGTACAGGATCTGTACTTCCAATTCTTCCAAACATCAAAAATAACAACAATCCCACCTGGTGCGGAGAGAGGGCCATCACAGACTTTGTTTTCAACATATTTTAAACACGTGCCAAAATATTGTTCTCACTTGATCAAATATTGTTTAACTTGTTAAATTTATCGCAAATTTTAACTCATGTTTTCATGTATGTAGTTATATACACCCCCCACCGTATCTAGATGTCTGTAATACCTGAATTAGTCAGCTTGCCGAAAATAAATGTAGGCTAAGTCACTAACCACACTGAATTATCCAGAATTAGTTACATTTATTTTTCTGGTGAGACTGTGAGAGTGATAATAGTCTTTAATATTTTCCTGGTAAGACTGTGAGAGTGATAATGACTCTTTTAATATTTTTCCTGGTGAAACTGTGAGAGTGATAAAGACTCTTTAATATTTTCCTAGTGAGACTGTGAGAGTGATAATGACTCTTTAATATTTTCCTGGTAAGACTGTTAGGGTGATAATGACTTTTTAATATTTTCCTGGTGAAAGTGACATTTTACTATTTGAGCCAAAGAGATTCTAGTCTGAAGAGTCCTGTGTTCTAACAACGAATTACCCCCACTCCACGAATATGTATATATGTTGCAATGTATACGATGGAGAAAGTGACATGAGATGATAACAGAGATAAGAAAAGATTCAATAATCCTAAACAAATATCAACTTTATGATTGTATAGTGTAAATACATTGTTCTCAAGTCACTCTTTATGCTTTGATCGCTCCAAGAATTTCATAAGCTCATTTTATTGGTCCTTTTATTTAACCTTTGGTGATTTTTGCGGATTTAACGGCCTATCTTGATGGAGTCATTTTGTTTGAATGTTATTCAGGCTTACACACATCATTGCACAATTTCACGCCAGACGAATAACACACAAATTCAATAAAACCGTACTAAAATAATTCACGACCTTAACATGGATTAAACCACCGCAGTTTTGTTGTCCAATAATGAGCATTCCTAAGCCGGTCCCGATTTAGAACGAGTCTCTTTTCAAAACCACAGATTTTTATCTACTAAAGTATAATGGCAATCATCGTCAAGGTGCTCGATTCTAGTTCACAAATATCGATACTGATTGCCATCAATCCTGGAATTTCAACATTTTTCTCTGATAATCTGGTAATGGGAAGTAACTCTTAACTTTGCTAATAAATCCGAATAAATTAACAGGAAAACATTTCAGAAGCAACTTTAAAAAAGACTAGCTACATAATGTACAGGGAATTTGCTGAAAATTTCAGTCAAATTGATCCACTCTGAACCGAGAATTTAGCGATTGAATTTTGGGTCTAGCAGCGATCATCATTACTAAAGTCGGTACGATAAAAAAACATAGTTTATAGACCACACTTATTATGTTGACGCCCACTCAACACAAACAAGGTCATTTCGGGACTAACATATGGTTCAATTTCATTTCAATAATTCGCTTGTGCGTTGGGGTCTTTAGCAGTTGGAGGATACAGGAGGACCCAGAGAAAACTCACGAGGTTGGACCTACTCCTTGTCATGTACAACCGGGGAATAAAAACCACAACGCTTGACTTAATATTCGTTGTCTGTGA